TGGCTTTTCCTCCAGGAACTGCAATGGGGGGAGCGCTCGGATGGGGCAGGGCCTGACCACGGCAGAGGGCGAAGGGCAGCTGAACGGCAGCCCGGGGTTTAACCCAAGTTTTAACGCGCACAAATGGAAGCTGGCGACTTCCCTTTCTCCCTGCATTCTTCTTGGTTCCTCGTACTTTCGCACAACTCTCTGAATGAACTCAGGGCCGCCCGGGGAGGGGGGGGAAAGTGGGGCAATTTGCCCCGGGCCCCGCAGGGGCCCCTCACGGGAATGTCTGAGGCCTGAGACAAGGAAGGGGCCCCCGAAATTGCTTTGCCCCAGGTCCCCTGAATCCCCTGAATGAACTTCTCAAATGCAGCACGTTCATCGTTGGTGACATCTCAGTTTTCTAGTACTTCCAGTCCTTCCTCTCCAAAAGCTGCCCCCCCCCGTTCTTCCACCTCACCTCACTCTGCCACTGCTCTACCCCTACTCCACCTCTTCCCACTCCTCCCTTGCTCTATTCTTTCCCCCAGCGCCCTTCCCTATCCATCCCCAATTTGCCTCTTCCTGCTTCACTGTTCCACCCCGCGTCCACCCCCACACACATTACACTCCTTCCCTGAAGCCCCTTCCCCTGAGTGATGTAACCCAGGGGATAAGGGAGGCTTCCCCACTCATCATGCATGGAGGAAGGAGCCACAGGAAGTGGAGTGACCCAGCAGCCTGTTTTGCTTTATCACCCATCTCTCAGTTGGGTCACTCTGCTCCACTCTCCTGAACCAGCATTGCTCAGCGGAGTAAGCTGAGGCTGGGTCACTACACTTCCTGCTGCTTCAGTGAAACAGAGCAACCTAGCTGGCTAGCTCTTCCACTTTACTTTATAAATCCATGGTATGCCCGCATCATGAATACTGTATGCCATTCTGGTTGCCCCAATCTAAAAAAAAAAGGCAACTTAACTGATTAGAGTATGGAGCAGCTTCCATGTGAGGAGAGATTAAAAAGGGGCTTTTCATCTTGCAAAGGAGACAATTAAGAGGGGATATTATGAAGGTATATAAAATCTTGACTTATATGGAGAAAGTGACTCAGGAAGTATTAGTTACTCCTTCATGTGATACAGGAACTAGGGGTCACCCAAATAAATTAATACACAGCAGGTTTAAAACAAATACAAGAAAATACTTCTTCACACCATAGTGAAACTCACTGCCAGGGGATGTTGTGAAGGCCAAAACTATAATAGAATTTAAAAAAGAAATAGATAAATATATAGAGTATAGGTTCATCAGTGGCTATTAGCAGGATGGGCAGCAATATAAAACCATTCTCTGAGAGTTCATAGATTCTGTTTGCTAGACAACAGAGGCTGGATCACTCAATTGCTCTCTTTTGTTCATTCCCTTTGAAGCACCTGGCATTTGCCACTATCAGAAGACAATCTAGCATTCAAGAGCAAAAAAAACCCCAAAACTAAAATGTTGTCCAACAAATAAATATTCCTTTAACATGGTCTGCCCTTCTCTCTTCACTGCACCCCACATAAAGATGTTGTTCTTGGTCAATAGAGACCCAGAGTTCAGAGGTGCTTTTGTGTGATTTCACCTTCCCTGAAAGCACCTTACTGTTCCTCTAGTCACTCTGGCTGCTGTTTGTCTTGCCACTGTTCATTCCACTGCTCAGTCAGCAATTACCTGGAACCATCACCTTCTGCTGCCACTTGCCACTGTGACCTCAGTGAGTCTGTCTCCTGGGGGTCCACCCATCTCTGAGTGAGTTCAGGTCTCACTGCTAGTATAGGCTGGGTAGGGTCTTCCACAGAAATGCTGTCCTGCAGCAGGGACAAGCAATTAGACCTTATTATTAGTAATTTCAACTCTAGATGTAATCAAACAAAAAGCTTGCGGTGGAGCCTAATCAGAGTTATCTTTAAACAGAGGAGAGGACAGATCCATATTTCCTGTGACTCTCTTATGCCACACTACCAAGTAAAACACCTGTCCTCACTCTCTCTTCTCACTGGAATCTGCCATCCAAACCCTTGCTTAGTGAGTACAATTCAGTTGAGGGTGACAAATGTTTAACTTGTTGTAACAAAAATATGCAAGTGAGGCAAAGCATGGAATATGGCCACGCCTCATTTGCATAATTAATGAGGCTCCATTTTTGAGCAAAAGGCTTTTGCGCAAGAGCCATTCTTCCGCATTTTTTCAGGAAGAACGACTCGTGCACAAGAGGGGGTTTTTGCGCAAAAGTGGGGCCTAATTAATTATGCAAATGAGGCACGGTGATATTCCACGCTTCGCCTCATTTGCATATTTTTTGTGCAAAATGGGGGCAGAGTAGACATAGCCATAGGGTGCCAGTGCTCAAGCAATTAGGTGCCAGGATATATGAAAGTAAAAACGTTGCTTAACTGATGTGGCAAGTCCAGAGGGTCCTGGAGCTACAAACGACAAAATTTAGACAAGCTGGTGCTCAGACTTGACAAAACTTAAGCACTGAGGGTGACCTCCTCAGTCAGGAAAATAAGTACAGTTCTTCTGCCCTTTATTTATACTATTAGGATAACATTTTATTACCCTTTTCTGCCACGAGCAATCTGGTTGTGCACTTGGGGTTCTTACTCAGGATTATGGTGGCAAAAATCGTCCAGTAGCTTATTTCTCTGCCACCTTGGATCCTGTTGCCCAAGGTCTACCCCCCTGTCTGCGTGCTGTGGCTGCCGCGGCACGCCTAATTGAAATGTCTGAGTCCCTTGTCCTCCGCTCTCCTGTTTCTCTCATGGTCCCTCACTCTATAGATACTCTCCTGCTACAATGTAATACAGCTCACCTTTCCTCCGCCCGCCTCACTTTTACTGCTTTCGGCTTCGCATATCACCATAAAGTGCTGTTCTCAGTTGACCCCTGCCACTCTCCTTCCTCTGGCTAATGACGGTGAACCCCACGACTGCCTTGCAAGTGTCTCTGCTGTCACCGTCTCATGCCCCGACCTTTCTGATGTCCCTCTCTCTAACTCCGACCTTGTGTTATTCACTGACGGTTCCTGCTTTAGAGATAGCCAAGGTCGTCTCCTCGCAGGATACGCTGTGGTATCACTCTCTGAAACCCTAGAAGCTGCGCCTTTACCTTCTGTGACCTCAGCACAAGTCGCTGAACTAGTTGCCCTAACCCGCACTTGCTTTCTGGCTGAGGGACGCTCCGCCAGCATTTATACTGATTCTCGATATGCTTTTGGGGTTGTACATGACTTTGGCACCCTCTGGCAAGCTCGGGGTTTCCTTACCTCTGCTGGTACCCCTATCAAGAATGGCCCCTACATTGCTGCTCTCCTGTATGCACTCCCATCTGCATTAGCTATTGTTAAGTGCCCTGGTCACTCCACAGCTGTCCACTGAAATGGAGTTATTTTGCTAGTATATTGTATTATATATGCAATCTATTAGAAAAATATTATATATAAGCATTACATGCTTATTATTTAATTTTCTACAGACATTACTCACCTTTCCCGTGCTTCCTGGGATAGATTCGTCATGGAATCTTCTGAAGAAAAATCAGAACAGGCTCCTGGGTCGCCCAGGGTTGCTCTCTACACCCTGATTCCCTTTGGCGCCCCCTTATTGGTGCCTTTGTGGCCCCCTTTTCGCTCTACCCAGCTCTGGCCGCCCTGCTACACGGCGTTTCGCATGTCGGAAAGGAGGGTATGATCTCTGCTGTAACTAAGGCAGAATGGTGGGCCCCCCATTTCAGCTCTTTTGCAGCTCACCACTGTGCCGCCTGTACCACTTGCCAAAGCTACAATGTTGGCAAACCTGTAAAGGTAGCTCAAGGGTTCTGGGGCCTGCCCCAAGCACTGTTCTTGCATTGGCAGCTTGATTTTGTACAAATGCCTGTGTGTCAACTATATGAATTTATTTGGGTTATGGTATGCTTATTTTCGGGTTGGATTGAAGTCTTTCCTTGTTGCAAAGCTGATTCGCTGTCTGTTGCCAAATGTTTGTTAAATCATATTATGCCTGCCAAAGAAACTCCTGCCACTCTGTCCAGTGACCGGGGTACACGTTTTACTGAACAACTTGTTCAGCACCTGGATCGTGTGTTACATGTCACACACCTGCTGCACTGTCCCTACCATCCCAAAGACATAAATTAAGTCCTTTTGAAATTGTTTATGTGAACAATGGCTACCATTACTCCAGTCTCAGACTTGAACTTGACTCACAGTACACTCCTTCAGTACTGCAAGGGACTAATGCAAGCTGTAAGTCACTTCCATTCACAGGTTCGAGCCGCCTGGCCGACGGAACCCACCTCGGATGCCTGCCACACTCTCGAGACAGGTGATTGGGTCTACGTACGACACCACCAACGAAAACACGCCATGGAACCCCGGTGGAAGGGCCTGCATCAGGTGCTGCTCGCTGCCCAGACGGCTGTTAAGTTATCCGGCATCGCAGCATGGATA